ATGCAGTTTTGACAACACACGTTCCAAATCATGTAGTTATTGTATGCTTAGGGGCATTCGATGTTCAATTCCGACCAGCGACCGCGCGCAGCATGGCATGTGGCGGGGGTGTTTTTTCCCAACCATCCTGTGGCGTTGGGACCTCGTTTTGAAGAGACGGTGCCCCGCGTTCCCTCCTACTCCTCCTCCCGCTGCCCCCTCCCTCCTGCCATCATCATCCTCATCATCGTCATCATCATCATCATCGTCATCATCAACATCACCATGATATTCGGCGTCATCATCAGCATCACCCTCCGCATGTCTCTATTTCGGCACACCAATCACACGGATCGTGGCCCCATAGGGAGCTCCACCGAAGGCCTCAGTGGCAGGGTTCGCATGGCGGCCCCGCCCATTTTGGCGCACCCCTCACACGGTTCGTGGCCCCATAGGGAGCTCCACCGAAGGCCCCAGTGGCAGGGTTCGCATGGCGGCCCCGCCTCATTTTGGCGCACCCCTCACAGGTTCGTGGCCCCATAGGGAGCTCCACCGAAGGCCCAGTGGCAGGGTTCGCATGGCGGCCCCGCCTCATTTTGGCGCACCCCTCACACGGTTCGTGGCCCCATAGGGAGCTCCACCGAAGGCCCCAGTGGCAGCACGGTTCGCATGGCTTCATTTTGGCGCACCCCTCACACGGTTCGTGGCCCCATAGGGAGCTCCATAGGCCCAGTGGCAGGGTTCGCATGGCGGCCCCGCCCCATTTTGGCGCACCCCTCACACGGTTCGTGGCCCCATAGGGAGCTCCACCGAAGGCCCCAGTGGCAGGGTTCGCATGGCGGCCCCGCCCCATTTTGGCGCACCCCTCACACGGTTCGTGGCCCCATAGGGAGCTCCACCGAAGGCCCCAGTGGCGGGGTTCGCATGGCGGCCCCGCCTCATTTTGGCGCACCCCTCACACGGATCGTGGCCCCATAGGGAGCTCCACCGAAGGCCTCAGTGGCAGGGTTCGCATGGCGGCCCCGCCCATTTTGGCGCACCCCTCACACGGTTCGTGGCCCCATAGGGAGCTCCACCGAAGGCCCCAGTGGCAGGGTTCGCATGGCGGCCCCGCCCATTTTGGCGCACCCCTCACACGGTTCGTGGCCCCATAGGGAGCTCCACCGAAGGCCCCAGTGGCAGGGTTCGCATGGCGGCCCCGCCTCATTTTGGCGCACCCCTCACACGGTTCGTGGCCCCATAGGGAGCTCCACCGAAGGCCCCAGTGGCAGGGTTCGCATGGCGGCCCCGCCTCATTTTGGCGCACCCCTCACACGGTTCGTGGCCCCATAGGGAGCTCCACCGAAGGCCCCAGTGGCAGGGTTCGCATGGCGGCCCCGCCTCATTTTGGCGCACCCCTCACACGGTTCGTGGCCCCATAGGGAGCTCCACCGAAGGCCCCAGTGGCAGGGTTCGCATGGCGGCCCCGCCCCAGATTGGCGCACCCCTCACACGGTTCGTGGCCCCGCAGGGACATAGAGAGTTCCACCGAAGGCCTCAGTGGCAGGGTTCGCATGGCGGCCCCGCCCCAGTGTGGCGCACCCCTCACACGGTTCGTGGCCACATTGGGAATTCTTTTTGCTTCGTCCCACCTGCCCTGCGGTATTCACGTTTGCATATGGTTGGGTCCTTCGCCAGGATATTTTTTTTTGGGGGGGGCGGGGGTGGTCGACCAAGTTGGGATGGTCTGGGTTGGTATGTGGTTTGAACGATGGACCAAACTCATTTTTAAATTGTACACGGTGGGGTGGGCAATCCAGAGGGAGGGGGTCGACCACAATTTCCGTTTCATTTTGGCCTTGTTGGGGCCGTCTCGAGAACGTTTTGGACCCTTTTGAGGCCAGCTTGGCTTGTCTTGGGGCCCTGGAGGCTTCGGGGGGCGTCCTCTGGCCATCCCCAAACCGTCTGAAACGTCTTCGGCTGTCGGACGCGTGAAAAAGCGAGACCATTAAAGCTACTAACACATCTCCAGGCACCAATGGGTCTGGCCTCCTGGAAACCACCTGGAAGGCCACTTGGAGCCCTCTTTGGCCGTCTGGGGGCATACTGAGTTCGAAACAGCCCGCCATCGTGCCTGGGCTTGGGCCAGAGGATCCTTTGGAAGGTACCACTTGGTCAGACCGATGGATGCCAGTCGGGGTCTTTCGGTGTGGCCCTAATTCGGGAGCCTCTCGCGGGGCTCTTGCGGGCCTCCCAGAGGCGTCTTGGGGCTTTTCAGGGGATCTGCTGGTTGTTCCCTCACGTGAGTGACGAAGGTCAGCGGATTCGCCTTCGCCGATGTTGGCGCCTGAGTTGTCCGCGTAAGGTCGCGCGTCAGCGCTCTCGTTTCCAAAGTAGCGTTCCATTCTTGCTGTCCCGCGTAAGCCACCGCGTAAGCTCGCTCTGCCATCTCGCGTAAGGCCCGTTTCTTTTCCTCGCCCACGTGTTCGTCGTCGTTTTCCTCCTCCTCGCTCTGCCTCGTGCGCGCGATGCCGCGGCGAAGGCAAGTCCGCGTTCTGGGTGTCACCCGGCATGGCGAGCTTCCGCAAGGTCGGTCAGGAGGCGCGCTTCCCGCCGTGCACCGCCGCACCCGCGCAGTCCCCGTGTCTTAGCCTCTCCCTCCTCAGAGGAGGACGAGGTACCGATACCGCTACCCTTCCCTCGTTCCGCCCGTTGGGCCTTATGGGAGCCGCCCTGAAATTCTGTTCAGAACACACCCTGGGAGTGGTCCGGGGAATGGCGGTAGCGGTGCCTTCTGGTTTCCCCACTTCTTCCCTCATCTCGTCCATTTCGTCGGGTGCGTGTGTGTGTGTGTGTGTGTCTGTGTTTTTTTCATTTTTCAGTGGCCTAGGGTGTAAGCATTTCGGCTCAACCGTCTCCTCATCCTTCTCCGTACGGGACGCATTCGCGAGCTTCAGCGAGAGTGGAGTAGTCTACAGCACTCGTCTCGTCGAACAAGGGGGTACGTACAAGATAAGACTGTCCGCCGTGGGGGACGCCTGTGCCAGGGCGGGTGGAAGGTTCCTGCTCCCACGTGCTGCCATTCGAGGCATGAGCTTCCCAGCCATCTGGGGACGGGCGCCCCCCGAGGCGGAAGGCTTTGTTCCCCATAGGGCCCCATATCCCAAGCATGCGCCTCTTCATATCAGTGTGCCGCCCCCGCCTCCCTCACTCGCCTCCCTCCCCATACCCCGATGCACTCATCGTCGGACTCACTCGTGCTCATACCCACTCGTACTGAGACTCCATTCTCAGACTCACTCGCACTCAGACTACCACACTTTTGTCGTCGGCGGCTAGGCAGAGACACTGCGCTGGCGATAGGGCGTTAGTGATTGCACGAAACGCGAATGAAGCCACCATGCAGGAGGGGGAGGGAGGAGCCGCCCGGCGGCGGCGGGAAGGAGAAGAAAGCCAGGCCCGCTCACAGCGGGGCCAGGCGCGCGGCGAGGGCGGCGCCAGGGGGGGGGGGGGCAGCGAAGGCGGGTTGGCGGCCGGGGAGCGGGGGGACGCCAAGGCAGGCTGCGGGGCAGCGGGCCAGGGCGGGGAGGGAGCCAGTGCCCAGGCAGGGCTGGTGACGAAGGCGAAAGCGAAAGGAGCCTGAGGCCCATGGGGTACCGAGGACACGCGTGGCCGCTGTAAGCTGCCGGAGCAGCGAGCGGCCGCGGCGGTGCAGTGCGGAACCACCTCCAGGTGAGGGGTTGGCCTGAAAGCCAGGCAAGGTGGGGGAGCGGTGGGGGGGGGGCGCGGGCGGCAAGACCAGCCCATGGACCCGAGGCAAGCGGGGGGCTCGGCCGGAGGGCCGTGAGGCAGGCCAGCCGCGAGGCCGATGGCCGCTGGGGAGCGAGAGACACCGAACTGGTGCATAGTCAGTAGACCCTGAAGCAGGGGGGCCAGGAAAAAGGCACGGCGCGCGGAGCCCAGGCAAGAAGCCTGGGCGCAGCGAGGCGAAGAGCGACAGGGGGCGAGGGTCTGGCCCGAAGGTCGCCGAGAAGAGCGCGGACCGCCCCAGCAGGAGCCGGGCGGGCGCTGGAGAGCGAAGAGCCAGCTGGGCCGCCGCCATCCACGCAAGCGAGCATGCGCAGCAGGCAGCCGCGCGGCGGGCGGAGGGCGTCCGACCCGGGTGCGATGGGGCCCGCGGCCCTACCAAAGTGGGCACAGGCGGGGGCGAGGGGAGGCCGGCATCAGGCCTGGCAGCACAGCGGACCGCCGTGCGTTGAGAGGCGGGAGCGCCGGGCGAGGAACGCACGTGGGGCGTGTCCCGTCGCCCCCCAGTGGGGGGACGAAGCCACACCGACGCCCGGAGGACGTACGCCGGTGGAGCGTAGGGGGGGGCACCGAAGTGGTGCACTGTCAGGTGAGAAGGCCTGGCCATGGATGGGGGGGCGTTGCCCTGGCCCGGGGAGGGGGCACAGGGCCGTCGGGTGGAGAAGGGTGCGGCGTGGGCGCCGGGCGGAGGAGCAGGGGCAGCGGCTCGGAACGAGGTGCCAGGTCGGGTGTTGCTAGAAGTACCGCTGGCCCAAGGTACCCCCGGCCTCCAGGGGACCCCTCACGAGGCCCAGAGGGCCGCAGAGGCTCCAAAATGGAGCGAAAAGCTAGGGGCACCTTGGGCCAGGGGCACCTCCAGCAACACCCGAGCAGGGGGTGCGGAGGAGGTCCCATCCATAGGAGGGGTCGGCAGGGGGGCGGTCGACGGTGTCGTTGTTGGCCGTGGCGACCTGCTGGTCGGTGTGCGGGGGGGCAGCGTCTGCAGGGGGCTCCACCGGCCGTGCAGGAGGCGGCCACTGCCACACGCGCAGGCGCACCCGCACGCAGACTCGCGTGCACCGATCTTCGCCGATGCTCAGACTCCATCACACTCAGCCTCGCTCGTGCTCAGACTCACCCGCACTCAGACTTGCTACGAATGTCCTTCAGTGGTTGGCTGCTGTTCCCAGTTCTCCGCACGCGGGCCCCCGAAGGAGGGGTCGGCACGGGGTGTGGCACGGGGCACGGGCCCGCCCGCGCCGAGATCCTCAGGATCTCTCGGGCAGAACGCCCGCTGCTGGACGAGTGTGTGCTTCTGTTCTCGGAGCCCCATGTCGCCGCGACATAGCCGCAACGCATGGCATCCACGATGTAGCCGCGATCTGGCCGCTTCTGCCTTTGGTGTTTCACCGCGATCTAGCGGGCAACGCGTCGCATCCGGTCCCCCCAGGGGGTGCCTGCCGGCCAGGGGTGTTTCACGGGCCCGTTCGATCCTGGATTGTGGGGAGCTCTATGGCCCCAGAAAACGATGCAGGTGGCCTCGGGGAACGCCCCGAGATCCAAGAGGCTCTCCGGGCCGCGTTCAGAGGCTACGGCAGGCTCCAGTTCACGCGGGTCGTTGAGAATAGGTATTGCGAAGGCCTCACAGCCGGCGCCGCCGACCCTGGAGGCTTCGGCCCTCGACGGAAATGGAAGGGAAAGGGCGGGCCGGGAGGGTGGTATTCTGACCCGGGACCCCGGGGACCCGGGGACCGGGGGGGGCGGAGCGGCGAGGGCTTGGCATCGCTCGAACGTCTGCGTATTTCCATCTCGGCGAGGACCATCGAGGAGCGTCCTGGATCATCTTGCGATGATTACGCGCACGAATTCGAAAAATGCACGGGGAATGTGCGTCCGAGCGATGGCCGGTGTCACCAGACGATTTCTGGGCTGGGGGGGGGAGCGGCGAGGGGAGGTGGGCGGGGAGAGGTGACACGCGGCAGAGAGGCGCGTGTCCAAGGTGCCCGAAAACACAGGGGGGGAGGGAGAGGTCGGCAGGCCGGCGGCCAGCGTCGGCGAAGGTAGTCACCGAGCTTACGAAGCGGGGAATTGCCGATGTCACAGAACACCTCTTTGTCTGCTCCGGTTGGCCACCTCGAGCAGGAGCACGCGTCGACACGAGGCGTCGTGCCAGCGTGCGGCGGCACTGGCGATGGGAGGAGAAGGAGGAGGAGGAGGAGGAGGAGGAGGAGGGCGCATTAGAGTAGCAGCGGCAAGCACTAAGTCCTTCGACTGAGCCTGAGTGGGTGGGCTTGGCAGTCTTTCGAGCGAGGAGCAGTGGGAGCGGGATGGGGGGGAGGGCGGGAAGTCAGGGGCAGGGCCGCATGCACTGTAGCGATCTTGGGAGGGGAGGAGGGGAGGGGGGAGCGAAAAGAGGAGGGTGGGAGGACTCCTCCTCCACCTCCTCCTCGTCCTCCTCTCCTCCTCCTCCTCTTCCTCCTCCCCCTCCTCTTCCTCCTCCCCCTCCTCCCCCTCCCCCTCCTCCCCCTCCTCCTCCCTCCTCCATCCTCCTCCTCCTCCTCATCCTCCTCCTTCTCCTCCTCCTCCTCCTCCTCCTCCTCCTTCTCCTCCATCCTCTTTCTCATTCCCTCCCTCCTCCTCCTCCAGCGTCGGCCTCCGCGGTGGCGACAGCGGGCCCCAGGTGCGAAGCGGCAGGTTGTCCAGGCAGTGGTAAACCAAGCCCGAGCATATGCTGAAGGGCCTGTTTTCCATCACCACCACCACCACCACCACCACCACCACCACCACCACCACCACCACCACCACCAGAAGTTGGAGGGGGGAAGGAGGTGGAGGAGGAGGAGGAGGAGGGAAAGAGGAGGACCCCATCCCCTTCCCTACTTCTGGTGGTGGTGGTGGTGGCGGTGGTGGTGGAACATGAACCCATCATATGCCCGCGAGGCGAAGACCTCGCAGTGCGGGCCACACCGCGGACAAAACCGACCCCGCTGGCTCGCTCGCTGCTCGTTCCAGAGGTGCGCGCGCGGGGGGCGAGGGCGGGGCTCCTTTCGGGCCGCACGCGGTGCCCCCCCCCCCCCACCCACACTTACCTCCGTGGGAGGAGGAGGAGGAGGAGGAGGAGGAGGAGGAGGAGGAGAGCAATGGGGAATGAGGAGGAAGGGGGGCATAAGGAGGAGGAGGAGGAGGAGGAGGAGGAGGAGGAGGAGGAGGAAGAAGAGGAGTCCAGGAGGGGGAGGTGGATGAGGCGGCGGAGGCGAAGGAGGCCCCGTGCCCTGCCGTTCGCGCCGCGGCCGCGCCCGTGGCCCAGGCGACGTTCTCCTGGGCCGTGCACGGCGGCGAGGACCGCGCCGTCGCCTCATGGCGTTCGGAGTTCCTGCTGCTCGCAGGTGTGCGCTCGGCATGCAGGGCTTCTCAGGGTGTGTAATGGGTGCTTGTTTGAACACCCGATGCTTTGAGTCAGCTGGCTACGGAGGAGCAGGAGGAGGAGGAGGAGGAGGAGGAGGAGGAGGAGGAGGAGGAGGAGGAGGAGGGGGAGGGGGAGGGGGAGGGAGTAGGAGGAGGGGTGGGAGGATGAGGGAGATTGGCGAGGAATGATGACGATTGTGCGGGATGGATAGCAGGAGGAGAAGAAGGAGGGGGAGGAGGAAGGGGAAAGAGAAGGAAGCGGATGAGATGCGGCAGACGAGGGACGGGGAGGGGAGGTGGATGGGAGGAGGGGCGGAGGCCTTCAGGAGCGATGGGGGACGGAGGAGGGGCAAGGAGGAGGAGGAGGAGGAGGAGGAGGAGGGCGAGAAGGAGGAAGAGGATAGGGATGGGCTGGCGATGGGGTACGTCATGCTGTGCCGTCGCCTCTCCACCATGCGCGCAGGAGAACATGGAGTACGACTTCACGCTCGAAGCGCTGGAGAGAGGGGAGGTGGAGAGGGCGAGGGCGATGACGACGACGATGAACACGATGACAACACATTGCCTCACTCTCGGGCGCCACGGGAGCTTAACTCCTGTTTGTGCCTCCAGTCGTGTTTTTTTTCCCTAACAGCGAAGACTTATAGGTTTCTAGTAAGGTCAAAAGAGAACATCATGACGCCCCAGGGTGGTCTGGGCGCGATCAGGGGGAGGATGCCGGGGGGATGCCGGGGAATTCGTTTTAAGCAAACAGTAACGCGGTTCGTGGTCTTCGAGTTCCCAGAACTCCATTCCTTGGCATGATTTTGAATGCCCGGAGCCAACTGTAGGCCACTTCGTGTTCTTCGTGTTCCCAGAACACCATTCCCGGGCCACATTTTGAATGCCCGGAGCCAACTGTAGCCACTTCGTGTTCTTCGTGTTCCCAGAACACCATTCCCGGGCCACATTTTGAATGCCCGGAGCCAGCCGTAGGCCATTTCGTGTTCTTCGTGTTCCCAGAACACCATTCCCGGGCCACATTTTGATTGCCCGGAGCCAACTGTGGGCCACTTCGTGATCTTCGTGTTCCCAGAACACAAGTCCTGTGCAATATTCTGAATGCCCGAGCTGAAGCAGGCTGAGGCCGAGGCAGGCTGAGGCCGAGGCAGGCTGAGGCTGAGGCTGAGGCACGCCGAGGCAGGCTGAGGCTGAGGCTGAGGCTGAGGCTGAGGCAGGCTGAGGCTGAGGCTGACGCAGGCTGAGGCCGAGGCAGGCTGAGGCTGAGGCTGAGGCCGAGGCAGGCTGAGGCTGAAACTGAGGCAGGCTGAGGCATCCGTAGGAATCCATCGGAATCCTTAGGAACCCCTAGGGATCCTTAGTAATCCGTAGGCATCCTTAGGAATCCGTCGGCATAGTTAAGCATCCTCAGGAATCCTTATGAATCCTGAGGATTCCCTTGGATTCCTAAGGATGCCTAAGGATGCCTTTGGAATCCCTAGGATTCCTTAGGATTCCATTGGAGCTTAAGGCCGTTGCCACAGCGACTGTCATTGCGAATGCGACTGCGACTCCGAGAACAGCAGAATTCTACAACTGGATTCTCGCCTGAATCTTACGAAGAATGCTTCCAGTTATGCTTATACACATCGCTGTTAGGTTGCGTTGCCGGGATAATTTGTTCGGGAATGCCACTTCGTTTTAAACCCCAACATGTGTTTGGCCAGCCTTGGCTTTTTTGTATGGCGACACACGCCCAAACACCACGCCATGGGACTCATACCCTGAAGCTGGTGCAGTTCATTGATGATGGCAGAATGGACGCATTACCCGAGTGCGTAGTCGGTGCTGTCTCGATGGCTTGTTCCAAGAATGCGGTCAACACATACCGCGTGGAGTGTGTCGTGATCCCATTATCCGAATGTTTGCAGCCAGTGTCGATCATTCGTGTTGTGTTTGTGCTGCGCCGTTTGTTTATCACCAAGGTGTGTGTGATCCCCCATTGCGTGTTTCGGTCAGAAGAATGTTTGACCAATGGTTGTGAACCTCAGTTGCTTTCTCCTCTCCTCCCCCAGCTCCTTCATATCATCATCCCCTCATCTGGACGATCCTCCTGCGCATCCTCCTCGTTTTCCTGCATCTTCTCACTCTCCCCATCTCATCCTACTCAATTCTGGAGCCTCGCTCCCGAGACCTCTTCACGAGCTTGCGTTAGTAGTACGTTTCCAGGCGTGTAGAGGGAGGGATGTATCTGCGAGGTCGCTAATCCCAAAATCTGTCCTGATTGAGGAAGTCCCGTATACGATGACGGAGGAGGAGGAGGAGGAGGAGGAGGAATGAGCTTGAGGGGAGAAGGAGGATCAGTAGGAGCAGACGAAAGAAGAGGGACGAGGTAGGGGGGGGTGAGAGGAGGCGGAGGATTACGGCGAGGAGGATGAGGAGTACAATGATGAGGAGAAGTTTGAGGGCGTTGACGAGGAGGAGCGCGACGAGGGCGAGTGCGAGGACGGGGACCACTCCCTCTCCATGCCTCGCCGGGTCCTTGGCTCGCCAGGAGGTCAGCGAGACTGGGGCACTGACCAAGACTGGCTGGCAGGCCTCCGTCCACCTTCTCATGTCTGTGCCTTCCAGGTATAGGGGGGACAGGACCTAGGAGAGACCAAGTCTCCTTGAGGTGGGGTGCCCCTGTCGCTACGTGCTGGGGGCCTCTGCGGTCGCGAATAACAGTCTGTGCGCCGGAATCGTGGCCCGCTTCCGCAGCCCTCCCCCCCCGTTTCGCTGGGTAACCTGGGAGCTTGGACGCACGGGAGGGAGGAGTGCAGGGGGCACGCGCCCGCAGCCAGGTCGGCTCGAGAGGCCGAGCCAGCAGAAAAACTGGTATTATCTATGACGTCTACGGCGAATCACCGCCGCCCCCTTCCTTTTTGGAAGCGCCTATGTGGCCGAACGTTGAGGCCAGACCTGCCTAGCTATCGGATCATGTGTTCCCCGAATCGGTTTGGAAAGCCTTCGGGGAACACGTGGGCATCTTGAAGGTCATCTTGGCCGTCTGGAGGCCATTTTGGCCCTTTCGGGCCTTCTTGGAGGACGTCTTGGAGGGCTCCTGGGCCGTCTTGCAGGCCATCTTGAGCGTCTTGGAGGCGTCTTGGGCCGTCTTGGGGGCCTCTTGGGACCTTCGTGGGCCTCTTGGGCGATCTTTGGGGGCACTTGGGCCGTCTCGGGCCGTCGGAATGCCGAAAAACAATAAATGCCACAATCTTTCAAACACTCAGGGGAAATCAATGATTTGGGCCTTTTTGGCCCTTCCTGGAGGCCTCTTGGGCCGTCTTGGGCCATCTTAGGGCCATCTTCGGCCGTTTTGGTGGGCTCCTGGCCCGTCCGACGCCGTCGGAAGCCGTTTGGGGGGCCCCTCTGGGCCGACTTGGGGCCCTCTCGGAATGCTCCAGGGCCGTCTTGGAGGCCATCTTGGGCATCTTGAAAGCCTCCTGGGCCGTCTTGGAGGCCTCTTGGGGCTGTCTTGGGGGCCTCTTGGGCCGTTCTGGGGCCATCTTGGAGGCCTCTTGGGCGATCTTTGGGCGATCTTTGGGGGCTCTTGGGCCGTATCGGGCGTTCGGATGGCCGAAAGGAAGCAAACGCCACACTCTGTCAAACATCTGAGGAACTTCTATGATCTTGGCCTATTCTGGCCGTCCTGGAGGCCCTCTTGGAGGCCTCTTGGAGGCATCTTGGGTCAGCTTAGAGCCAACTTCGGCCATCTTGGTGGGCTCCTGGCCCGTCTGACGCCGTCGGAAACCGTTTGTGGGGCCTTTCTGGGCCGACTTGGGGCCATCTTGGGGTGCTCCAGGGCTGTCTTAGAGGCCATCTTGGGCGTCTTGGAGGTCTCTTGGGTCGTCGTTGTGCCGTCTTGGGGCCGTCTTGGGGGCCTCGTGGGCAGTCCTGAGGCCATCCTGTTTGGCCTCTTGGAGCTCTCTTGGGGCTCCCTGGGGGCCCTTGGGGGCCTCTTGGGGCCTTTGGGAGCCTCTTGGGGCCTCCTGGGGGCTTATTGGGGCGGGAGGCTCGGATTTTTCGGCTCGTGTTCTCTCTCTCTCTCTCTCTCTCTCTCAGGCCTCTTTTGGGGACCTCTTGGGGCGCCCTTAGGCCGTTTTGGGACGATCTTGGAGGCTTCTTGGGCCGTTGTAGGGTGGTCGTGGGAGCCTCTTGGGCCGTCCTGGAGCGTCGGGAAGCCGAAAAGGCGAGGAAGCCCAAATCCTTCAAGGCACAATAGGGAAGTCATTTAGTTGGGTTTCTTGAAGCCCGCTTGGCAGGTCTCTTAGAGGCCTCTGGGGGCGCATTAGCAACTTGGGCCGTCCGGGGCCAGCTTTGGTGTCTTTCGGTGACTCGGGGCCCTCTTGGACCGTCTTGGGGGCCACGTGGGGCTTTCTTGGCCCGTTTTGGGGTCCTCTTGGGCTAGGCCCTTACAGACGCCTCAGGACTGAGGCCTGAGGCTCCAGGGATTAAGCAAAGGACCTGAGGGCACGCCCACTCCGAGGCCAGATGCACGGTGGCGCATGATTCCTCTTGTTATTAGTGTTGTATGATTCGCTGGGCGGCGTCTCATTCTCGTCTTTGCAGTTCGTTTGGCCGTCCTCCGTCGTCAGGTCTGGGCACCCAAATAACACATGATCGTTTGCCACGTGGATCTTGGAGAAGGGCATGTGTCGTGCCCAGGCAGGCCTAGGATGAGGGTCGATCGCTTCAAAGCGTTTCGTAACGCTCCCCGAGCGTTTCGGAGCGATCTGCAAAATCCGTTGTGCCCGAGATGCCTTCCGGGCCCGCCGGTTCTCAGAGACGCCTTATCGATTCCCATCCGTTGTTTTACCTATCGCTCGCTGAATGTGTGTATTTGTTGGATTCGCAGGTTCCACTATTTTTGCGCCTTCCTTTTGTTAATCGATTGACTCTCCTCTTCCTTCCGCTCAAGGGAGGGTGGCGATTCCCCACTCTGTTTTCAACTCATTCGAGCTTGATACTTCATACCACCTCTTTCGAACGATGAGTATCCATGTCCTGCCTCTGTCTCATGTGAGGCACTCCGTCAACCATCACGACCAAAGCCCCTTACCTCAAGGGATGAACATATACCACCGCCACGGAGATCCCATCCGTGGGGGCCGACCCCTGGGCGGTGGCACGCTCAGGCGTGCCCCCCCCTTGGGGGTGGGCGGTCCCCCCGAAGGGTTTTCGGTGGCGTTGGTCAGGATTGCTCCTCTCCCGACGAGGAGGAAGAGGAGGAGGAGGAGGAGGAGGAGGAAAAGGAGGAGGAGGAGGAGGAGGAGGAGAAGGAGAAGAGGAGGAGGAGGGGAGGATTCGGGGGGAGGAGGAGGAGGAGAAGGAGGAGGAGGAGGAGGAGGAGCAGAACGAAAAGGGGGAGGGGGAGGAGGAGGAGGAGGAGGGGGGAGGGGAGGGAGGAGGAGGAGGAGGAGGAGGAGGAGGAGGAGGAGGAGGAGGAGAGGAGGAGGAGGAGGAGAGGGAGGACGAGACGAGGACGAGGACGAGACGAGGAGGAGGAGGAGGAGGAGGAGGAGGAGGGAGGAGGGGAGGAGGAGGAGGAGGAGGAGGAGGGACGAGGAGGGACGAGGACGAGAGGAGGAGAAGGAGGAGGAGGAGGAGGAGGAGGAGGAGGAGGAGGAGGAGGAGGAGAGGAGGAGGAGGGGGGAAGGAGGAGGAGGAGGAGGAGGAGGAGGCGGCGGCGGAGGAGGAGGAGGAGGAGGAGGAGGAGGAGGAGGAGGGATGGAGGAAGGAGGGACGTGGGAGGGAGGGGGAGGATGGAGGAGGGACGGGGGAGGAAGGGAGGGAGGGACGAGGGGAGGGTGGCGGAGAAGGAGGCGGAAAAGGAGGAGAGGGTGCCGCGTGCCACTGTGTTGTCGTGCCGCCCCTGGCCCGCGGGCGCGCCCGCTCGCCCGATCTCGCGGTGCGGGGGGGGGGGCGGGCCGCTCGCAGGCCAACGTCTCCACGCAGTGCAGCGTCAACAAAACGGCGGCCCGGGAGCAGGTGCTCAGGCGCACCCCCCTCCTCACGCCGCCTCTTCCTCCTCCTTCGTTCCTCCTCCTTGTCTTCCCGCCGCCTCCTACGCAACTCCCAAGGAGCAGCCGTCCTCTGGATCTTGTTCGACGGCCCCGCTTCTCGAAGGGGTCGACTGGCGGCCGCGACAGCGCCAGCCAACCATGCTGTAGGCCGAATCTTGAGATTCAGATCGACACTGCACTCAGCCTAACTTCACTTGCAGGGAACAGGCTGGGTGACAAAAACGCTGGGTTGGCGTGAGGTCGTGGGTCTCAAACGAGAGTGGGGGTATTGCTGCGTCCATCCCCGCTGCCAGCTGTGTCAGCAGTGCCAACATGGGTAGGGGTGTTGCAGCAACAGCAGCAGCACAGACCACTGGAGCCTCCAAGTGCTAGCGCAGCCTTTGGTACTTTCGTACCTCTCAGTGTAATCCCCCTCCTCCCACTCGGGGATTGGCGGGTGGCCTGGTAGCCAGCAACAGTGTTTGGGGAATGGGTGTGGGGATGCGCTCAAGTATGCGCAGGTGCCAACTTCCCTCAAGCCAGCGAATGTCGCAGGCGATGCCAGTCGCGGTAGTGAAGGTTAAGCAGGCGGAATTGAGACGAAACCCCTTGTCGGCCGTCGCTGTCCAATACCGTTTGGAGAATGCTAAAACGAAACCGAAGTGATTTAGGAACCAGTTCAAGTCGTTCAAGGAGCAACAGGCCGAGCCGGCGAAGAGCACCAGCGACTCGACCGAGGGCCGCGTCGAAGCGAAGGCCGAGCACGAACGCCATGTCAAGATGGCCCACTGCGTGCATTTCGAAACCGCCGATTACCCTGTCCAAGTGGGGCGAGCAGACCTCGACCCAGAGGTGTCCAGCTCGGCCGAAGGTAAAGCAGTATTGAACACATTTTAGGAAGTTGCAGCGCGAGACCAAGGCAGCAGCCCAGACAGCTAGGGCGGCCAGCGGTGGCAGTGAATGTCCTGCTGCTTGAGACGGCGCAAGCGCCAGTACCCCTACTGCATCAGGTGGCGGAGCCAGTTGTCCTCAGGGCGGAGGCGGCCGTGGCGCGGCAGCCACGGCACAGCACGACTTTGAGGGCGAGGAGTTCGAGGCAGGAGCGTCGCCCGCCGTGCTGGCCCAGTGGCCGTCCGGGGGTGCGGACAAGATGCAGCGTCGCCTCCGGGAAGGTGCCAGCCGTGGGGTCACTCGAGCGTTTCTGGGAGGTGAGCTCGGCTGACTTTGAGTGCCCCCCCTCGGCCTCCCAGTCCATGGGAGTGCGCCCAAGGCGTAAGCTGGACGGTCTCGGAGCAGGTCAGTGCGCGGCCTGGATGAGGGCATCGGGATCGACCCCCGCGGCTTCAGCAGCAACGAGTTCGGCGACGCTGGCTCTGGGCGGGAAGCCTGGTATCGGTTTCGGTTCGGTTTCGGACCCCTGCGATTTACAGATTTTATGCAGAAAGCCTCGCTCTCACCTCCTCCCTCTTCCTCCTCCTAAGCCTCTCTCTCACCTCCTCCCTCCTCCTCCTCATTCCTCCTTCACTCCTCTCGCT